TCGACCCCGTTCTGCAGGAAGACGGCGAGTAGAAGCCAAAGAATTTATTAATTTTTCTTATAGCATTAATTAATAGTATTTCCTTTAAGTTAGTTTATTCTTTCATACATTTAATTCATTTTAGTTATTGTGTAAGGGATGTTAATCATAATCTATTTTATTTCGCTTCCGCACTTAGAATAAATATATACATTTCCTTTTAATTTTTGGGGCCGTTACATCCTTGTATATGAAGTCAAGTAAATAATAGCTTTCACTTTTGTGCGGTGCTAGAAATCATTATTTATTCGGATAATAAAAAACAATAAATAAATGTTTGTAATAAAAAAGTAATTGCATAATCGATTTATTCTTTTTTGATGGATGAGGAAAATTCTTTTACACAAATGTGTAAGCGTCGATTTTTCTATCCTGAACATCTCATGACATTGTCTTAGATGGCCATCTAATACTTCCATGACAAATGCATAACTTGTACGATCTAAAGTTGTGCACATATTGTGGCAACATCAACTCTTACTCTCCCTCCCTTACATTGTGCTAGTTCCTTCATCTTTTACACAATCAACATCTAACTCATCCATGTTTTACTTCTTCTTCACTTTACTATTTTTGTTATTGTCATAACTCTTAACTAAATGAAAAGGAAACACTATAAAATAAGGAAGAAATTGAATCAGCTCTACTCTGACTTGATTTCTCCATTGCAATACAAATTCAGTCTTAAATCTTTATCATAATCGAAACTACATAGAAGTCCTCTGGCTTCTTTACCCACTGTCCTCATTTTTTTCTTTTGTTTTTTATACCTTGTCTTCATATCATCTAGACCTACGTTAACAATAATCATTATAGTCACCACTTGCTACAATTTTGATTGTATCATGATCACTGATAGTCAAGTACGATGCTTGCAGCTGATTTCTGTGCTTTATGCTTAGTACTATCCAGACCAGAAAATGGTTAACAGTCATACATACGGCCATTAAACGCAAGAGAAGAAGTTGTAAATTTAGTAGCCCTTGGAACCACTTATAGTAATATAGTAGTTAATTTAAAATGAAATACCTGTAAATTTCATACAAAGAGATCTCAGATGAAGATGGAAGATTTTCTTTTTAAGTGTTTTCTCAAACTATAATCATTAGCTTCAATAATACTAGCTTTGTGATTTTCTCCTTATAAAATATATATATATATATATATATATTTTTTGTTCAGAGTTGTCACTCTTTTCTTAACAAATTCTATTTATTTTTCAATCATCTTATCTCAAAACGAAGAATTATTTTCCAAAACCAGGAACTAATTAATTAAGTCACCACGATTTAATTAATTAGTGTATCCAGTTAATACCCAACTAATTTAATTATTATCGTTCTTCTTCACTGAACAAGTGGGAGTAACACCATAACCTCCCAAGAGCTTCCCTCAGATTCTTGTGGTTCAAATCAACAACGGCTTCATAGCAGGAAAAACTACAGTTTCTCTGACCTGTGTCTTCTTCAGCAAATGAGAGAGAGAGAGAGAGAGAATGGAAAATTAATTAATAATATATAATTAACGTAGAATAAATGAAGTAAACCTTTTTTTTCTCTGATGAACATATTTACAAGAGAGTGAATGTAATAACTTTAAAATGAGAAGTTTTATTTAAGAAGTCTCTAAGCTGAACGGAAATAGACAGCAATTAGATGTAGTTTTCAAATCGCATTTCATCAAAAACAGATTTAATTAAAACATTTCCTCATGGAACACAACATTTCTTGACATAATCACCTTTCCATCTCCTGTATCCAATAGCTTGTACCCTTTTACACCAAATTGATATTCAAGAAATACATATCTCCTCCCTCTTGGATCAAACTTGTGCCTATTGTTGGTGAGCGTTGAGCCAAAAGCTAAGCATCCAAATACGAAGATATGCTTGTCTGTTGGTTTCCTTCTAAGCAACATCTCAAAAGATGTCTTCTGTTAGGTATTCTACTCATAATATACACTGTAGTTAAGCAAAATCACTCTAATATGTCAGCTTAAAAACTACTTTTGAGAATTTGTTGGTGCGCTAACAACATTCAGAATTTGTTGGTGCTTTCTTTCAATTCTGTCATTTTGTTGCAGAGTCTCAATGCAGCTTTTCTTATGTGTAATATCATTCTCCAAGTAGAACCCTTGCCTGTCAGACTCTTTGCCAATGTCAGTCTGTATGATCCCGATTTTGGCATCAAATTGTGTTCTTACCCAAACATAGAAACCTTCCAATCCTGGGTCTGTCTCAAATTTGTTCTTGAGTAAAATCATCAAGAACAGACAGAAAATATCTATATCCTCGTAGGATAATTCATTATAAGATCTCCAAATATCACAACGAACAAGAATGAAACAACATTCAGACTTACGTTCACCCATAGGAAAGGTAATCTATTAAGTTTAGCAAGAGGACATATGTCACATTCTTTATGTCGTACATCATTGATCAAATTTGAAAAGAAACGTGATATCGAAAGCTTTGAATACCCAAGATAACAGTGTCAAAGCCAAAAGTTCTTCCTTAAGTTGCCCCGAGGTACCAAATTAGTGACCAGAGTTGCTTAGTCTTCACCAAAACAACTTCTTCCTTCATACAATAAATACATACCATGCTCCATCCTACCCATTTCAATCTTCGTTCATATCGAAAAATCCTACGTTGCATAGATTTCAGATTTAACGATTAAAAAAATATCAATAATCTTTAGCCAATCTCCTAGTTGATCAAGTTAAAATTTAAGATGGTTACACATAGAACATTATTGATGATCAAATCCTCTAATAATTTGATTGTTCCAGCATGAGTCATATTAATTTTTTCTCCAATTGACAGCTCAATAGTGGAGACAACATTGACCATATTACTTGTGTACAAATATGGTGTACACACAAGTGATCCAGGGTACTTGTATTAATTATCCAATGAGCTATTCTCAATAATTTTATCTTATTCTACATGAGTTAAGGCAAAAGTACATCCAAGAAAATCCTGGGATGCTGTTGTCTGTGTATGGTGTGGATGATGATTGTACCATGTATGCCGAGGAGTTATTCTATTGCGACAAGGTCGTTAGTTGTGCATATTGGTCTTTTGTGATCATACTTTGATTTCTTGCCACACTTTCACCAGCTAAAGGAGAAGTTGAAACATGATTTGTATTGGACACCATGCCTTTCCTACGTAATTTATTTCCTTCGGGATATCCATGTAATTTATAACATCCCCTTTTATTGTGCCCATGTATCCCACAATGAGCATACGCAAACTTATTAACAGTGGTCTTAAAACATCTGTCAATAAAATGACTCGCTACCTATGTGTATAGTAGTGTCTCTCCTGACTGAGACTAGTAAATCTAGTGTTCTTATTTAACTCTCTAATGCTAAAAGTCAAATATCCTATTAGATGGAACACTTGGATGATATTTCTTAAGTTTTTTCTGTTATTAAATAATAAAGCACACTTCATTTAATTTAGAGAAATATTTTATTAACAGTACTTAGTACCTTAATATTTTTATATAATTTAGTTAACCCCATCAAAAATTTCATCACCTAATCTCTCATTTGATATTCTAGCATAAACTTTAACCCCCCGCATGTATAATTTAGAACTGACTCAAAATTAAACAGTTCATCAAATAATGTTTTAAGCTTCAAAAAATCAATACTTATAGTATCTTGGTCTTGTACTTCATAAATCCCACAAGCATTATGATATGAATGCATTTACTTCAGTTCATTTCGTAGTTGATAAGTTATTCTAATGTAAAATGTGCTGCATTTAATGTTTACTGATGATGTATTTTGTATTCAGATAATTATAATATCGTTACAATGCAGCTAGTGCTCCATAAATGGACTGCTCGAATCTGCAAATTTCCTAAGACTCCCGTCGAGAAACCCTAAATTGTTTTTGATTTTGAATATATGTTGCATAAACCTATCTCGAGAATGATAGTTACTTGAGTTCAGCCACTATGTGACTCGTATACCTCTAGAACTCTTGTTAGTTTCGATATAATAGGAACTACTTGCATGTGGAAGGATCATAAACAACATCGTTTAAAGGATTTATACTTTGAGTTGCATTTGAAATGAAGATCTTATTCTCTATCATCCGCTTTGATACCATAAAAGGTTTCCCCTTTAGATTTATGTAAAAAGCAAGTAAAATTACAGGAAAATCTTATCAAGTAAGGTCGAAAGAGCCAAGGGAAAAAACCCTATATCAACCATATGGAATGTTCTCTCTGTTTTTCTTATTGTCAAAAATGAATGAATGAATATTTATATATAGGTGAAAACATGTGTACCAACACTTCACCCCCATGAAAACAATCATGCAAAAACTCTTAAAAAGCAATCGATGTGGTTCACATTGATTCATATATACATACACACACATTATATATATATTTATGCACATGTAAAGACATCCTCAGGCATCTATTATCATTTAACATTCCGTGCACCACGTCTCGCATTCTTCAACAAAGTTTGTTTCCATTTAACATATTTTACACGATTTTATTAGCTTAAGAGACAATAAATCAAGAACTCCTTCAAAACCATCTTAATTCATTTTTAAATTCTATCAAGTTTGATAACAGTAAAATATATAGTTTTGATTCTAATTTTAAATTTGCAACTAAATTTTCGTGATTTATGCTTAATAAGTATAAACACTACAAAATTTCTAAATAAATTCAAAAAAATAATAATTTATTTGTTATATTTGAGCGCAATCTCTTTCCTGGTTTTGACTATTAATAAAAGATACAAGAATAAACCATGAGCCTTCAACTGGAGTGGTAATTTGCCTTTAGGTAAGGATTTTATTAGGCGTTCTATTCCCACTTTACCAATGTTAACTTGGTCATTTGGTGAAGAAACAAAGATGCATTAAAATTACACATATACGTGGGAATATATATATATATATATATATGTATGCATCTATATAGATATTTTAAAGAAACCTTTAAGATATACATTGAAGAAAAATTACAAGTGTAAAACCAGAGTGAGGTTGAATTAAGCTCCCTAGAAAACTTCATTAGCTTTGACATGACATTTCAGAAGGAATAAAAAAGATCACAGTTTTGGACTTGCCACTTTTTAATGCTAAACTCTTGATTCCTTGAACGAAATATCAATCAACAGGATGTCACAGTTTAAAGCATAGTTTACCTGCAAAGACAAGTCAGAAAAAGTTATTAAAAAATTAGCAATTGCTGTATTTCATAGCCATTATGGAAGGTCAAAGATGGAAGAATCCTCACCCGGACAACTAGAATGAGGAGGTACCAACGGATGAGTATCCAGCAGCTTTAACCTCCTTGAGGGTGGAAGCTAACCAATCCAAGCCTTCATAGAGGCCATCACCCCGAAGTGCACAAGTCCCTTGTATATGCCATTTTCTATTCTTGAGACCAAACAGTCCTAGTCCTTCACATACTTCCATTGGTGTCATTGCCCCTTTCTGACCATAGAAAAAATAACATAAAAGCCCTGTTGCATATTATGCTAACCATTCAATTTGCACATCATCTTCAATTGTGGAGTTACAGAGAGGCATCAAAACAAGTCACTTAATAAATTGGAAATCCTACACCAACTTCTTCTCCTCCTCAAGCTTACATGCACTGGACACCCTTTTCTACACAGAAAACCCATAAGTCAAAATATGACAGCATTTACCTACCAGTTTTTGTTCAAGCTGTTAACTAACCCTATACAGTAAAATAGAGACAGACCAATTGGCACATGTCACCCTCTTCAGACAGTATGGTAACCAAAGGAAACCTTATTATGGCGGACAACCAAACTAAGTTTTAGAGAAGCAAGAACGCCCATATAATCTGCTACATGAAAGCTCTATCCCATTGTTAAGTATGGTTTTAATTTATTATCTTGACTGACACAGGAAAAATTCCACATAACTATGATATCAAACGATGATTTCTATTCACATAAAAAACATTATAGGTGCATAAGTGGGTGAGCGTATGACATAATCAAGAGTTGAAGTGCATATACTTTCTCCCGAACAGAAACTAGTAACATACCATGTCCTGTTTGTTAGCAAACACCAAGATGACACTGTTGAGCATGAAGGGATCTTTGATAATAGCCTGAAGATAATAAAGTATGACAAGTAAGAAACAAACCCAGAGAATCTCAAAGACTTAAAATTTGCGTGACTTCCTTAAGGGCAAGACCTGAAATTCTTGTCTTGCTTTCCCAATCCTCTCTCGATCCAAGGAATCAACAACATAGATCTGCATGAATAAAGATGTCACTGTTATCACCAACAATAGACTCCTTTATCAGCTAAGACTAAAAGACAAAATCACAATTCACAGAACAAAAAAATTTACTGAATGTATGCTCGAACTTCTAATAGTTTTAAGTTACAGCTTAGCTGACACTTAAAGAATCCAAGGTTTGGTTATTATTTGTACAAAGAGGAGGAATACTAGCTGACAATTGGCAGAAATTCATAACAAATCTATATACAACTAAAAGAGGAATGAGGTAGCAAGAATCATCAGTTAAAGATAAAGGGCAAAAGAAATTCAGCAGTACCAGTCCATCTGTATTGTTGAAGTAATGCCTCCAGAGTGGCCTTAATTTTTCTTGGCCACCAACATCCCAAACTGTGAAAATCACATTCTTGTACTGCACCTTCTCAACATTGAAACCTACAACAGAGAAGAAATAACATTTGATTCATCAACTTGTCTGTCCACCCTAACAAAAACTCTATGAAATATGATAATAACAACAGAGAAGTCTTGAGACAATAGCAAGAACCATGAAATTAGCAACAGCTTAGTATGAGATAAATTTCATGCTTCAATCAATTAATAATGTAGAGGTAACATTGGTAGCCAATGTTATCAAGGCATCCTCTTTGCAACACAGTAAAATTTTAGTGCATGTCACCTGAGAGGGCATAAGATGGGTGTACCATGGGGATTTCAGCAAATCTGGAAAGTATTTATAAATGTCAAAATTTCTGTGAGGTCCCTTAAGTCCTCCCTCTCTGTTTGTAAAAAAAAAATAACCTTTCAACAAAATTACTCAAGGTCTGCAACTAAAGATTTCTAATTTTAGCAAAATGAGATCAAATGCCTTAGAAAGGGTGTTGGCAGAATCACAAGCTACGAGGAGGTGTTAATGCCTCTACTCCTGGTTTTGCCCACAAGAAGCAGCATCAAAGGGATTCTGAGTATTTTGCAAGTTTGAAAGGGATAGAAAGATAGATAGGACAAGCAGGTCTATGAGGATACTCCTAACTATAGCTTGAGTCTGCCACGTTTAGCTAGGTCATGATTTTGTTTTAGAAAAATTAGATATAACTTATTACAATAACATAATAAGGAGCCTCATTTTGTCATGCTTGTGAATTTGCCAAGTGCACTAGAAGTTCTTATTCTCCTAGTACTAATAAAATTTCTATCCATTTATACTCAATTATTGTATGTTTGGGGTTCTAGTCATCCAATTACAATCGTCCCTGGATTACGTAACTAATTCCTAAGAGTGCACAATCAATTCTTCAGCTAATATAGAGCTGTCAATATAACTCCTACAATTCATTCAGTTAATAAACTGGCAACAGGAGGCACACCCAATAAACTGAAAAGGAGGCACATAATCTATTTCCAAAATGATCAACCAATAAAGGAATAGGAGTATCACGTCAATTTAAGAGACAAGAAAAATGTATGAGCTGAGGAACCAACCAATTGTAGGGACTGTGGACAAAACTTCTCCAATATGCAGCTTGTACAGTATTGTTGTTTTGCCAGCTGCGTCAAGACCTAGCATAACAACCTAAGCCAATTCCAATCGTAGATTAAGAAAAAAAAAAAAGATAATGATCAACAGAATTAAAAAATGAATGTGCTCATATCCATCACTAAGCACTAAATATGACCAACAAAACAAATAAACAAAACAGCAGAAGGCCTAAAGGAAATACAGAATAATAGTTGACGAGTGCCATGAAATGGGACAAAATGACTAATTATTTGTTGAATGTCAACAGAAACAAAAAAAAATACATTAAAAGCATAAATTGGAGGGATGACAGAGACAAAGAATGAAAGAGAGAGCAGACTTGCAACATCTCTTTAATAAGCAGATAAAAAGAAAGCAAATAAATTTGAATCATGCTAACAAAGCTAAAAGTATTTAGCATATTGTTATTACTACTATCATTATTATTAGTTTTAATGTATTTAGGCTCTTTAGGTAGACTTAGCACACTTTGACTTTTATTAGGATTTAGAATGTTCTGTCGTTATCTCTTCTATTGTAGTTTTCTAATTTCATTAAATATAATGCCATTAACCTACAGAATACAATTTTCTATTTGTGAGAAAATAATAAGCATTATAAGCAGGGAATCAAGAGAGTGCCACCATGCATAAAAGGCAAACTACGCAGAATTGGAAGTCAATATATCAAATTAGGCTGCCAAGATCATCTCCATCAAGGTGGAGGTTGACCTTTACACAAAATAACCATGAACAAACAGACCATCCACTTACAAATCATTCAAATGCCTAGGAAGCTCAATGTTTCAATTTGATATGCAAATAATCACTCACCATATTCAATTAGCCAAAGTCTTTTAGACATTAGATCCCAATACGAATACCAATACCAGTACCACTATCTTTTCTGTATGTATATCATGTGTCCCATCTAAGCAAATGCTCTCTCTTGAGACTTCACCAGTCCCAGACCATAAAAAATTCCTCATGGTGTTACGAAAGGAAAAGATAGACACTAAAAATCGCTAGAACCCTTTTTTTCCAGATAAAAGTCCCTAAACAGTTATGGGTTGATGTTATTTCTGCAACCTACTTATTTAGTCTATTCTTACCTGTTCTTGCTAGTGATATTCTTTCTTTATTTCCTTCATGACCTTTATCTCCACTTGAAACTTGTTTTTCGTCCATGTATGTGTTTTGTTCACGGTGTTAGTCCCTAGGTGTCCAAAATTAGATCCTAAGTCCATTGAATGTCTTTCTCTTGAATATTCTTGACCTTAGAAGCGGTATAGGTGTTCTTCAATGCAAGTTGTTATTAGGTTTCCACTGATGTGACATTCTTTAAGACCACTTTTATTTTTCAGCCTACAGTCTATAATGGTAAGGGAGAGAGATGATATTCCAATATACAATGTTACTACAGCTAGCAGATCTTCTATACTTGCAACACCACCTATAACGCAAGCTTAATCTTGACATACTCAATATCAAGATTCATCTTCTCCACCAGCCTCTACATCTACAAATTCTAGTATTCATCTTTGCAAAGGTGAAGAGTGTTCTTGCCCTATCTCTTTTGTTGCCTCTGATGCACATTTCTCTCCGTCTTCACATTTGATTGCTTCTCTAGGCTTTGTTTATGTCTGACGTAGCATAAATATGGTTGATTTGTCTAATTAGAAATTTGGGGACACCCTAGGCATCACATCTAGGGTTTCTTAAACATCACATTTAAGAAATTAAGCATCAAATTAAAGGGTTTGATTGCATCACACAACTAGAAAATTAAGAAACTCTCAAAATATTATTATTATTTTTTTTTTGAAGATAAAAGTATAGAATTGTTTTAAATATCAGCACCAAAGGGGTGCCACCCTGTGTACAAAAGATTTACATTTCAATGAACATATCTACAATCGCTCCAAAATCTTCTAGTCTAAACTATATATGCTATGACCTAAAATAATGAAACCATCTATTCTTAAAGTTAGTGAAAGATTCTTCCTCCTGTCAAAAGATCTATTATTACGTTCTTTCTAAATAGTCTAAAAATTGGTCAGAGGAATAACGGGCAGCTTTGTCTCTACCAGTGAGCCCCTCCCAAATACTTAGTTCATTAATGATTGAGCCCGCCATCACCCAATTTATACCCATGAGGCTGTAAACAAGAATTCAAAGATTGAAAGAAAAGAGGCACCAAAGCAGTAGGTGATTACAGGATTCAGTGGTGCTTTTACAAAGAAAACATATATTCACCATAATTTTTCCTCTTTTCATTAAGTTATCAATAGTTAATATGCGCTCCTTGGACGCTTCCCAAGCGAAAAACAAAACCCTTGGATGGCAAAAGTCTTCCATATGATTTTATGTGAAAGCAGTCATTCCCAGCAGCCCTGCAAGTGTTCAGATTTCTGTAGAGGGAGCTGACTGAGAAGCTTTTGTTTTTCCTCAAGGTCCAACAGAGCCTGTCTCTATTATGACTGAGCTGAACTGTACTCATCAGAGAAAGTAAGCTTTCAAATTCCTCAACCTCCCAGTCATTCAAATGCCTGCTAACAGATACAGTGTAAACCCTGTGATCAGGAACACTGAAAGCTTCCCCTAGAAGAATATGCTTGTCCCTTGCAATGGCAAAAATTTTGGGAAACCTGGACATGAGATTTACCTCCCCACACCAGGTATCCTGCCAGAAACTGACTTTAGTGCTGTTCCCGACTTCCCATCTAGTGCATTCAAACACTCTATTGTAGATGGCCATAATACCTCTCCGCAGACTTAAGCCATGGGGTCTGTTGGCTAAAGTGAGTTTGCCATTACAATCCTTTTTCATCAATTTAATGTCAATAATCTTCTTCCAAAGGCTATTGTCTTCATTTAAGTAGCTCCAAATCCATTTGTCATGGAGATCTTTATTCATAGTAGTGAGAGATCTTAGCCCCAGCCCTAGCGACCTGATAGGATCCTTCACCTCCTTCCAACTGACAAGATGGTATGTCTTTTTACCATCAAAATCTTCCCAAAGGAACCTGTTTTGCATAGATTCAAGTTGTTTAGCTACATATATAGGTATTGTGAAGACTGTCATGTAGTAGATGGGGAGGTTTAAAAGTGTGTTTTTCATGAGTGTTAATCTCCCCTATTAGAGAGAAATCGTCTCTTCCAACTGGCCAGCCTTCTGCCAAACATGTTAACCGCGGGATCCTAGTTATTTTTGTCTTTGAACTTAACAACCAGTGGGAAGCCAAGGTATTTGATTGGAAATTGCATTTCAACACAACCCAGGACCTTTGCCAAGTGTTTCCCATTGCTACCTTTTTCAATGCCTACAAGTTCATATTTATAAAGGTTAATTTTGAGACCGAAGACAGCTTGAAAGCATAGGAGAATACATCTCAGGTTTAGCAACATCCTGGCATCAGGTTTACAGAATATTAATGAGTCATCAGCAAAGAAAATGTGAGTTACTTCAAACTTTTTACTATTGTTTTCCAGGACAGTGCCCTCCACCAACTTCAAGTCCCTAGCATTTAAAAGGAGCTTGTTAAAGACTTCCATAACCACAATAAAGAGCAAGGGTGAGAGTGGATCACCCTGCCTCAATCCTCTATATGCTTGGAAGAAAGAGGATGGGCCACCATCATGACCGAAAAACTAGTCATGGTGATGCATGATTTGATCCATTTTCTCTATTTTCCCCAAAACCATGCCTATGAAGCAAATAATCGACAAAATTCTAGCAAACATGATCAAATGCTTTTTCCATGTCTAATTTGCAAAGAACCCCAGGCCCTTTGTTGTGAACCATCTCATCAACCACCTCATTTACAATCATGAAAGCATCAGAAATCTGTCTACCGGCAACAAAAGCATGTTGACTCTCATCAATG